GCATCTCCACCAAAAAATGTCAAGTAGAAAAAATAAAAGAAGACAAATGTAAGATGATGACAATGCAATTTAATTTGATCCAAACAAATACCCACCTATTAACATGAAAAAATAGATAAGCTAGTTGCTGAGTTAAAAAAAATATCGAAATTAATAATTGTTGGTTTAAATAAATATATTTTATTACACAATATAAATGATGGTAAAAGCAAAGCAATAATATATGATATTAAAGATAACTATTCTATGAAAATTTGAAGGATGTGTTAAGAGCAATAATAGATGATATTGAAGATAACAAGGATATTGAAAGTAACAAAGATATTGAAGATATAAAAGGATAGATAAATGATATTTATCGGAGAAACAGTGAAAGTTAACTGCGGTATATGAAAGAATAAATAAGAAGCAGGTGACTAAACCGCCGGCATCCATCTCGATAAAGAGTCCGGTCTATTAGGTCCTGGTAATGAAGTGATGACCCCGCGCCCACGTGACTTATGGACCCCAGCCAATTGAATTCCGCCGATCCCCACATCTATCACCTGTTTAGTCCTCTTTCCTGGACTTCTTCTAGAGCTACTTGATGGACTATATACTTTCCCGGACTTATTCACGTGGACCTGATATCTGATAATATACTGTCGTGAAATATTTTATCTCTGTGCATAATGGGTTGGTTAAATGCTTTATTTGACTTATTGTGGGAGTCGGTGGAAGGATGGTCTAAACCGTTGGTTTTCGACCACTACGATCCGGGTTCGATTCCCGCATTGGGCACTTTTTCTGATTAAAAAAATGCTTCAATGGCCCCCGATTCTTGAAAAAGTCCAACCCCAACAACGAGTGCAAGTAACCAAACGGGGCTCTGGCACATTTGTAAGTGCAAAGTCGAAAGTGGTGCACTTACAAAAAAAGCAGTCGCCTACTTCTACCCACCATGATTACTCACCATGGCCTGTACCACGTGTACTAGGGATAAGCAAAAAAAAAATAGACTTATATCTTGTAATATCCTTAAATCCAGGCTAGATAACTGATAAACCCAATCCACTTTGTGTGATTTTTTACCTGAACTCTTGTTGAGAGGTAACTCCATCAATTTACACTCATGGACAAAAAATAGAGAATTTGTACCTTTTAAGCAGTAAATTGGGATATAGAGAATAACTCTGAAAGATATTACAGTGACCTTTATTGTAGATACACGAGATAACCAAGTATTAACAAACTTGCCTCTGTCACGGACTTCTTCCACGTATACCTGATAGTTGATAATATACTGTCGTGGATTCTTATCTCTGTGCATAATGGGTTATATGTTTTATTGGACTTAGTTATTGTAATATCCTTAAATCCAGGGTAGATAACTGGAAAACTCAATCCACTTTGTATGATTGTTAAACCGAATTCTTGTTTAGAATAACTCCATTAATTTACACTCATGGAAAACAATTTAGGAAATTGTACCTTTGTTATGTATTCATAAAGTTAATATAAATATTCTTAATTTAATTGTGTAAATAAGCAGAGTAATATCATCACTGATTATAGTATTCATTCTATCATCATTAATATGTAAAAAGTAGATATAATAGATAATAGTTTTCTTCTTATGATGCAATAGCGAGTCATCTGTTATGAAAATTCGAAACTATTTTAGACGCGTATGATTCTTTTTGAAATTAAACAATTTATACTGCCCTTACTGCAATGAAAAAAATTTATGGAAGGGCCTGGCTCATCAGTGGTGAACCCACCCAGCGGTTTCGCCTATTTAATCTACCATATCAACTGGCGAAACCGCCGGGGGGGTTCACCAATGATGAGTCAGGCCCTCCCATTAATTTTTTTCATTGCAGTAAGGGCAGTAGAAATTGTTTAATTTCAAAAAGAATGAATGTCTATAATATGAAAAGAATAAATGTCTATAATAGTTTCGACTTTTTTCCCTTAATTTATACACCTTATCTCAGTACAATATCATATTCGTAATCTTTTCTAAATAGTCAGATGTTTCCTTGAAAAGGACCACAGCGGGTTATTGAAACGTTTGAAATTAAGTTTAAAAAAAGGTTAATATTGTCACAGCCTGCATAGACATATGTAAATATTTTCTTCATTTTAAAGTTTTAAATAAATTAATTTTGAATATATAATATTATCAAGTATGATAATATTTGTATGATATAAATTGTTTCTATTTTTCTATTCATATTATCTTCCTTGTTACTGAAATAATAAAGCCTCATCCTTAATGTCCTAAATCTGGGGTCGGCAAACTTTTGAGTCAGAAGAGTTAAAATTACAATTTACAAAATTTCAAAGTTTTTAAAGAGCCACAATATTTTTCCTTGCCAACAATAAATAGTACTCGCATAAATAATAAGAAACTCTAACTGGCCGAAGTGTCTATTTTTCATAGAAATATGAATGCTGGCCAGGCAGCTTCTATCTTTAGGAAAATAATATTTGTTTATGGAACTATATAAAGAGCCACAGCTTGTCATCCAAAGAGCCGCAGTTTACCAACCCATGGTCTAGACATTTCTACGGCAACACCAGTGAACATCTACATCCCATAGTGTATAACAATATATAAATAATTTATATCTCAAAAACTTGAATTTTGAATTTATTCTTTGTATTTGCTGAACCGCGTGCTACTTCAAAAATACAGCGCGCCTACGTCACAGGATGACGTGGCATTCGAGGAGCTTCCGACCATCACCACTAGAGGCGCTTTAACCTCCTTTTTCACTTCCTGTTATGTCTTCCCTTGTACTACCTGCTTGCATAACCTCGTGATATATTAAAATCTATATATATTTCAATCTATTCTCAATTTGTTTGAACCACCGATCCAACAGTATTTAATCTTGATTTTAAAGTTTCGTAAATTTTGAATTTATGAATAAAAACTATAAGCGAATAATCAATAAATACTTTTAAAAAAACTTTTATTAAATGTACTATAAAGGAGAAAATAAAAATTTCAACTATACCACTATTAGATTTATATGGGTTAAAATAAGCGCGGCGGAGGACAGACAATATTCAAGAAATTCTAACTTAGTCATTTAATATGAAACAATTGATCACAAGTTTTATGTTTCACTAAATATTTCACTCAATATAGGATGATTTTCTCATCCTCTTTTATTTTGACTCCTATAAATTCAATGCTGGTAGCTGAAATATTTATTTTCTCTTTTTTATGCATTTTTATTAAGTTCAACTTTTATTCAACTGTAAATACAAAACGCGATGTCCCGCCAAGGACACTGGCGCCCAAAGGAAAACAATACAAGAGAGAGAGAGAGAAACTGATTTATTACAATGTTCATATAAAATTATATATGGTTAAATGCAGAGAGAGGGAGAGAGATAATTGACAATTAACAATTATTAATATTAACAATTAACATAATTTATTGACATCTTGTCAATACATGTAAAGTGCACAGTCCGCACTAATTATGAGGATGATGGTTATAATAAAAAAAAATGATTTTAAAAATGATTAAAAAATACAACTATGTACATGGCGAGAGAGAGAAGGAGAATCTATTTATATATCCAAAAACATATGCACAAGGCATTTACCATATTCTTGAAATTGGTTTCAAATCCAAATAACTTTATTAGGTGCCGCTCAAAAAGAACAACCTAGATCATCATATTTACAATATACTTTGGGGGATGGTTATGTACAGGGGTTCATTTACAATTATAATTTATATTAATTTAGATTGATGTCGTGTTGGGTCCTCAGGTCCTTGGGAATATTGTTTTTGAGAAGGTTTTGTCTGGCTTGTTTGATATTCAAGGTGGGTTTATTTTTATTAATTCGGTTCCAAAATCACTTTATTAGGTACCGCTCAACAAGAGCAACCTAGTTTATGATAATTACAATAATGAATAATATGTGAAGGTTATTCACATATTAAACAAAATGTTAACGCGGGATTCAATCCCGGTTCATGACTGTCGGGAATCGAGGGTGTTACCCACTCGTCCACCGACGTTTTTTTATTATATTTTATTAAAAATTATTTTTGAATGTGTCCCTATTAATTTATTTTATATTAAAAAGTATTTTAATCAATCATAAAATATATGATCTTGATAGTTTATTTGTTTAACTCCAGGTCAACTAGCCTTTGTTAGAAACTAAGAAACATCTTGAGAATGATTCGGTTCAAATTTCGGTTCTCCAAGACGCCCTGCAGTCTTCCTTTCAATATTCAAGCCTATTTCTATTTGATTAATAATTTATTCTGACAAAAATTTTATAATAACAAGAAAAATCAAATTTCTTAACTTCGAATAATATTACGAAATTATGAAAGAGTTTTTCAAAAAATAAATTCGATGATAGTTGATTTATTTTACCTCAAAAATGATTTGTGAACTTAAAATATATTTATTTATTTATTTATCTATATATTGAATCCAATAATATGGCTTCTTCGATTAATGAAACCCTAACAAACCAGGAAAAAATAATTCAAATTGAACAACCGGACATCGTGACTTGTGTGTCACCTCAAATCAAGATAACAAATTATCAATTGAAATAAATATTCAACTTAAGAATAAGAATTCAACTTTATGAGGAAAGATTGATTTTTAAAATATTTTATTGGACCAATAATTATTTGAAGCTTTAATCAAAATTACAATGATCCGAAAATCATAACCTACAAAAGCCTCAGAGAATCGTTTCAAAAAAGAAATATATATTTTTTTGTCTCCATAAGGCATGGGCAGTTTTTTGCTTGAATTATCCCAGCTATGTGAAACCTGAACTTTGGTAAGTTCAGCCTTATTTTATCCATCAATTTAGTTTTTAGTCTTGCAAATATTCTCATACTATTCTCTACCTAGTATACAATAAAATATATTTGAAAAAATATAAGATCTTATAATACAATATAATGCGGTATGATTGTAGAACGGCATATACTTTATATAATATTTACGAACGGAAAAATATGTCCAGGGTAGCCTAGTGGACATGGCATCTGCCCGGTAAGCGGAACACTGTGAGTTCGATTCCCATTCCTTAGCACTTTATTTTTCCGTTTATCATTACTATTCACAATTCATCCTTTCATACTTCATCCCTAAGGTTGGAAATGATCGTTGTTTCTCCTTGAAATAAATTTCGATTTTTCGTTCAAAAGAAACATATGCGGGATAATTTTCAAATGTCGTTCTTCAATATAAGATCTATTATTGAAACTAGAGAAATTGTAATGAAGCAGGATAATAGAAGTTCCGAAATAGTTCAATCATATAGATAATCTTGTAAAGCTATAGTGAATAGTCCCACCACGCTCTCTTCAATCATCCTTTTGCCCGTAGAAGAGCGAAAGCGGTGAAACTCGCGGTTTAAGATAACAAAAGAAACTTATTGCGAAAGGATTTAACACTTCATTTATAAATATAATGATCTAATGAATCAATTTAGCATTAAAATATTAAGGCATGGAAAATATTGATTGTTATTCGAGCTCTAAACCAAATATTATCCCATTAGAAAATCTGAATGGTTTCTAACACTTCTCATCAATGTTTGTACCACCTTTATGATAAGGAAGGAATGGAAGAAAAGAGGAAATATAAAACTTACTTTTGAATATGTAATTATTGGACGCGAGAATAGAAGTTCAAGATATTTTATTGTCGCAACAGAGAATTGAAGTTGTTTCTTTTTTTTTTTTTTGCTTATTCCTAGTACACGTGGTACAGGCCATGATAATCATGGTGGGTAGAAGTAGGCGACTGCTTTTACCGTAAGTGCACCACATGTTTACACATGTGAAAAGCAGTTCGACTTTTCACTTACAAATATGCCAGAGCCCCTTTTGGTTACTTGCACTCGCTGGTGGGGTTGGACTTTTGCAAGAATCGGGGGCCATTGAAGCATTTCTTTTTCAATTAAAAAAAAGTGCCCAATGAGGGAATCGAACCCGGGTCGTAGCGGTCGAAAACCAACGGTTCAGACCATCCTTCCACTGACCCCCAGAATTGAAGTGGAATGGTTCATTAGATGAGGTTCCTGTCTCTCAGACGTATCTGGACTTCACAACAAAAATATCGAACCTCGATACATTTTAACCAAATATCGGCTCAGCCACATCGCCACCTTAAGCACCTTTTGTGCCGGTTCGATCGGTTTCATACCTCCTCCCGTAGGATGATAAGCCCCTGTATTGACAAGATACATAACCTGAAACCATGAGACACAGGTTGGCTTTTATCTACATTTTACAATTGTGTCACATTCTATCCATCTATGCCCGTTATACACAGAGATGATAAACAAAATTTATTGTTTTGATTCACTCAAAAAAAAAAAAAACGGGATAAATGCTCTTTTTGTACATGGACATTTTCCTCCCGTAAAATTATATTGTTGCCATATGGATGCTATGGGCGCTCTGCTGACTTTCTCTGCAATCTGGCAGACTCGAGTCAGGCAACCTGTCAAATTCTTAAAGTCTACCTAGGGAGACTAATTTCACGTTATGGAAATCGCCAGTCAAGGAAGGCTTAGATTCCATGTAAATCCTAAAGGGGGGTTATGAAATATTTCATTTATAACAGAATTTTCTTAGGTGGTAAAGCTGTTTCCGTAACTATTCTCAGTTATAGTTAATTCTACGGCCTAAATGTGAATGAAAATATGCCGGGAGGGTATTGATCTATAAAAAAGAGGAATAATTGCGAGTCTAACTTCAAACCTTTGTGGAACTCGCACAATAAGTTTATTTACAGAGAAATGTTTTTATTTTAAAATCTCAATTGATGATTTCCCAGATATATTATATCCATGTACATGTTGAAAGTAGTTCAGAAACTTTGTATTGGTAAATAGTTATAATATGATGGTAAATAGGTTTTGACTTGTAGCTCAGCCCCAGTATTTGACTGTGTGGACTTCAGGAACTCGTGTTGAATCTTTCTTTAGCTCCTTCTCTCCTTCTCTTAAAGATTATTGCAGCTCTACAAGTTGTTGGTCAACTCTCCGGTTACTTTTAGTACTGGGGAATCAAGACAATCATTCATCTCCAGTACCTGCTCGCCTAGTACACCGACTACAGAAAGATTATCTCAGAGTCCTCGTCCCTACAAATCATAAAAATTACCGAAGACATAATGAAATAGAGAGAAAAGTAAGAAATGCTAAAAGAAACAAAGATATAGAAACATACATAAAATACCGAAATATGATCAACAGAGGTAAAAAAAGAGGCTGAGATATTTGACTGAAAACTTGATTGCAAGAGACGGCCTATACCAGGGGATGGTATAGGCCGTCTCTTGCAATCAATTTGTTATCCTCTATTTTCCAATTATTATATATTATAATTTATAAATCTCTGATATTATTTGTGTTTCCTTGTGTATATTCAACTTCTGTGTATATTCATTATCAGTATTTTTTTTAAATACAAGAAATTAAGACCTAATCCAAATAATTTAATAGTGTGTGACGTTTCGGCAACAGCATTGTTACCATCATCAGACAATTTATTCTTTTGTCAGATGATGATAACAAAGCTCTTGTCGATACGTCACACATTATTAAATTATTTGGATTAGGTCTTATTTTCTTGTATCTATAATCTATTATCCAAATTGTGCTTTATTATTTCTTTTAAGGATATTCAAGTCTGTGACTTGGCATAAGTTTTCAGTTTAATTATCTTGGCCTCTTTTTCTTTTTATCTCTGTTGATCATATTTCGGAAATTTTCTGTGTTTTAAATATCTTTTTTTTTTCCTTAAGCATTTCTTACTTTTTCCTCTATTTCATTATGTCTTCGGTAATTTTATGATTTGTAGGGACGAGGACTCGGTGATAATCTTTCTGTAGTCAATGATTGTGTCAGGACGGTCGAACATTCCGTGGAATCCGACATTGGTCAATGATTCTATGAGGAAGGATTTTTGTCGTCAAAGGTTGTGTGATAGGGAATCGTTAGGCGTTACTGGATTTCTGTCAGAAACTGATCTATTGACAAGTTTTTGTACTCTGGTCGTTAATTCAGCGAGGACTGTGGTTGAGTCTGAAGTTAGAAAGCTAACATCTACATGGCTCGGGTAAAGGATCCATCCACGGGTATTCGAATGGTCAGAGGAGTGAGGCAAGGAATGTAATAAGCCGATTGGCCGCGTCATCGCGACAAATCAATGAACTCATGAATGACGTCATCCTTTTGTTGGCCCACGACAGATGCGGCGCGTGGCTTCTCCACCCCTCTATTTGCCTGAACCGCCTTGCTCACACATTTCCTAATTTGATGTGAAAAATTAAAACGAGCTCGTTTACAAAACTTTTTAACGCCGTTTTGTGTTTAACATGGGCTTCATGAGTTTTGTCGATGTGTCACGTCATTGGCTTTTGGGAATGTAGAAGTGAGCAAAGTTTGTCATGTACCTTTTACATTGTCCCAAACTGTTTGAGGTGGATCTGAACCACGTACGATTAATAGGTATGGTAAACGAGGATAGAAAGGTAATTACACACATACAAAAAAAGATGTCATACGAAATGATATCACAGAAATATACAATTTTTCTGAACGTTAGATGGCGTAGTTATAGCGTGATGGAACGACTAAGAAACCAGTGTGCTGTGCCTCGGAACAAAATGAAATCGGGCCGTCATTAGATAAAAAAAGTAAGTTATGAAAATTAGAAACTATTTTAGATGCGTAAGATTCTTTTTGAAATTAAACAATTTCTACTGCCCTTACTGCAATGGAAAAATTACTCGGAGGGCCTGGCTCATCAGTGGTGAACCCTCCCAGCGGTTTCGCCAGTTTAATCTACCATACCGTTGTTATATTGCATTTTTCGATCTTCCTTTTATAGTGATACTGTTGGAAGACTCATGGAATGGGTATTTTAGATGAACTATAGACATAAGCTTTGAGGACAGTAGAATTACATACAATTATAAATATATAATATGCTTCGAGCAATCGCTCTTCCGCAAATATCAAATTGAGTCTTTTATTAGAACATTTATTAGAAATTGTTCAATTTCAAAAATAATCTTACGCGTATATAGTTTCTAATTTTCATAACAGATGGCGCGCTAGTGCATCGTAATAAAAAAGTAATGTTTATTATTGCAGGATTGCGGAAAAGTTACAAAAAATTATAAGACGCCGCGCAACTCTTTTTATTTACTTAGTTAAAGGAATCTTTCGGGGAAGCTCTTTTTCAGCTAACTGAAACGCATGAACAAGGCAATAGAGAGAGAAAATATAGCATTTTTAAAGATTAATTCGTGCAAATACAGGACATAGGAATTTAAGAATTTACATAATTGAATAAATTTGCAAAATTAACTATGAAAATGTTAATGAATTTAGTGAATAGAAAAAATAGAATGATTATTGTTTTATATATACATATATTAAAGTGTGTTTTTTTTTTAAGAAAGAAGGGGAACGTATTGTGATAAGGTAGCTGTACAAGTACTTGTATACTTATGTTTATTTCTTTAGGGTTCTTCATGGTTTTTATTGTTTCAAGAATGAGAGTCTAAGTTCAAGTCCAAAAGTTTTAGTTGTGCCATTTTTAATGAAGGATTCTGGTATAATTGAAGTCTGGAGTATGCCCTGTTTCTTTGGTGAACTTTGATGGTGAACTATTAAGAATTTTAGTTCTACTTCGGAATATTTCTTTAGTGTTCTTTAATTCTGGTGGAGAGGTCTCTTGAGGTTTCACCAATTTAGGCACTATTGCAGTTAAGGTAGGGAATTTGACAAACTAAATCTTTATATTGTTTCTGATAGATGCTTTTGGTGATTGGGTTTCTTAAAATTAAGGCAATGGTGTGTGAAATAAAGATGGTTGTTGTACCAAATTTTTAGTTTGCGGAAAATTTTGTGGAATCGGTAAGTAGCAGGTGGAGACGTAATGACTGGAGTTATTTCTGGGGGTTTCAGGTCTATATCTATTTCTTTTAATATAGGGGAAGGGGATATCCAGATTGAAGAAGCTGGTTTTCGATGAAATAGAATTCTCTATTGTATTCTATTTTTGCTGA